GTGGATCAGACTGTCGTGCCAGACCGGAAAATATCACCCCTACGACCTCAATTTGCCGGCGAGCATTCCAAAGTAAACATTCTTTGAAGATCTTTTCTTATACAGCTTTGGTTCCGAATTGATATTTAGGCGGCCTATGGACCATTACAAATTCGATCCTCCACTTACGGAGCATGGTTACCTTACCGCAGAATTCATGGGTCATGCCTTCAAACTGGCTAATTACCATCCTGAAGTGGTGAGTGCCCTTTGCTGATATAGCTTTCTTGGCGCTGTTCCAATAAGGTGGGGCCCTTGGTGTCATGATGGATGGAGAAATGCTCTTTTTGCCCGAAAAAATTAGGTCACTCGTCCCGATCGTTTTCCCCCTCTCAGAGGCTTAGTTAGTCAAAGATTATAATCTCCTGGTCTTTTGATGCTTTGAGGTTCTTAGAAGAAAAACCTTATCGGGGTAGCGCTGAATTGGCCAATCGATTCACGTCGCGCAAGCTCGCCTTCTATTAAAACACCACATTTTCAGATCTACTCCTCACCGGAATTGAGGTGCGTGCAGACTTCCGTTGCTATTTCACGTGCTTACGGAAATTCAGCAAAAATCTGCCTGGAACCTGCTCTGTCCGACTGGGTACAACTGGCTCCACCTCAAACTCCTCTGCAATGGCTGAAACCTGATCAGGTGCGACAGCGGCGTTTTATTGATTATTTCAGGACTTCTTCAAATTATCCTTATCTATAACAAGCACAATTAGGTTGCATTTATACTTGGCGAGTCGAGTGATTCAGCCGCGCGACTACAAACAACCGCGCTCCACCGCTAATCGTTGCGCCGTTGTGAGTGGTGTTTCACTCACGTTCAGAGCGTGCATCTGCAAGGGTGCAACGATTAGTGTAGGAGCGATTCGCAAGCGCTGATCCGCCCACGAATGAATCACTTGGGTCACGACGTGTCATAGCACCATGCTGTGACATTAATCGTGTAAGCTACTAAATGCAGAGTTCAATTTCAGTA